AGGGGTTCTTACAACCAGGGGTCTTACAACCAGGGGTTCTTACAATCAGGGGTTCTTACAACCGGGGGTCTTACAACCAAAGGTTCTTACAACTAGGGTTTTACAACCAGGGGTTCTTACAACTAGGGTTTCTTACAACCAGGGGTCTTACGACCAGGGGTTCTTACAAGCTGGGGTCTTACAACCAGTGGTCTTACAACCAGGTTTTCTCACAACCAGCGGTCTTACAACAAGGGGTTCTTACAACCAGGGGTCTTACAACCAGGGGTTCTTACAACGAGGGGTTCTTACAACCAGGGGTCTTACAACTAGGGGTTCTTACAACCAGGAGTCTTACAACCAGGGGTTCTTACAACCAGGAGTCTTACAACCAGGGGTTCTTACAACCAGGGGTTCTTATAATTAGGGGTCTTACAACTAGGGGTTCTTACATCCAGGGTCTTACAACTAGGGTTCTTACAACCAGGGTCTTACAACCAGGGGTTCTTACAATTAGGGGTCTTACAACCAGGGGTTCTTACAACCAGGGGTTCTTACAACCGGGGGTCTTACAACCAGTGGTTTTTACAAGCAGGGGTCTTACAACTAGGGGTTCTTACATCCAGGGGTCTTACAACCAGGGGTTCTTACAACCAGGGGTTCTTACAACCAGGGTTCTTACAACCAGGGGTACTTACAACCAGGGTTTCTTACAACCAGGGGTCTTACAACCAGGGGTTCTTACAAGCTGGGGTCTTACAACCAGTGGTCTTACAACCAGGTTTTTTCACAACCAGCGGTCTTAATACAAGGGGTTCTTACAACCAGGGGTCTTACAACCAGGGGTTCTTACAACCAGGGGTTCTTACAACCATTGGTTCTTACAACCAGGGGTCTTACAACTAGGGGTTCTTACAACCAGGAGTCTTACAACTAGGGGTGCTTACAAGCAGGGGTCTTACAACCATACGTTGTGACAGTCAGGGTTCTTCAACGATAGGTTCTTACAGACAGGGGTCTTACAACCAGAGGTTCTTACAGCCAGGGGTCTTACAACCAGAAGTTCTTACAGCCAGGGGTTGTTACAATCAGGGATTCTTACAGCCGGGGGTCTTACATTCAGAAGTCCACCTGACCCGTGAATAAAGAAGTTTTGGCCTTTACGTTATTTGTTCGCTACTTTTCTCGTTATGTTCACGATGATTGTTCGATGAAGAAACAGTCTATCAGCACTGCTGTTGTTAAAATGATTTACAAAATCATGTTGAAAGTTTGGCGAGTCAGTATCTGAATGTAAGCATATTTGTCATTGCGATCGGTTCATTTTTTGTATTCTACTCTGAGCGCTTCATAATTCTATGTTATTGACTTTAAGAAAAAAATTCATATGTTCAACTGTTCTACATACTGTCTTTGCCCTACTCGCATCGCAACTCACGGCAGCACTTCCCTTCTCAATGAGAACTTCTAGTTTACTATCTAGGCTAGTTAATTGTTTCTTTAAGTTGGTAAAAACACTAGTGAGCATTGAGTCCCTCAGTAACTTCCTTTGTTTAGCGGCATGATAAGGAAAAGAATGGAGGCCAGAAGCAGTAGTTCTAAATAGAGGGAGGGTCAGAATTTTATTGCCACGTAAATTATAAGAAGAAATGCGGAGATTGAGCATATTCTCCAATCATGTAGATAGGGTATTTTATAGTGAGAAACAAAATCTTCTAGAGTAAAATTAACATGTTATGAGGCGTCAGCGGGGACCAGCGAAACCGTAATGTCGGTAAAGATCAGGTGAATATTTGTTTGGCTTCCAATTTTCGTCATAGGGGAATGAGATTTTATGTAAATTGAAATTCTCTATATTCCTCTTTACGTTTTCGAAGTCTTTGCATATTAGTACGCGCGTTGCCCCAAAAAACAATTTGGAGAGTGTTATTTTCAATCCGATACCAATGCTTCGAGCTCTCCGTCACTGCTTTATATCAAGACTCAGCCTCTACAATGTTATTCCACCGATTGGAGCACCGATCCAGAATTTTCAGAATCACGATCTTAATGTTTGGATGACTTTGCAAAATATAAAAGAAAGCGAAAGAGGCGTTTTGCGTATAACGGCGCACGTTTCACGAACGGAAATGGAATCTTGTTCTTTCCTGAGCGAACAAGCGTCTACCTCACAGCAGACGAAGTCGAGAAATATTGGAAAAGTGAAGAAGAACAGTGAAGAAAAAATGAAACAAGAGAAAGGCGCAGAAGATATGTCTTGGCTAGCTCAATCGAGCTTGAGCGATTCTGAAGTGGAATTCAGCATTGATATTGGATCCCAGGTCATTTGCCGCTATTCTCCTTCAGATCCAGAATTGTCTTCTGATAGCGAAAGTTTGAGGGTATAACAGGAATTGGCGTTTGTTTGGAATAGAAAAGCTTTCAGGACGGGTTTAAGAGCGAAGAAATTAAAGGCAAGCTGGTCATCAGAGGGAAGTGGAAGCTCTCTTAACGGACACTCTTGTATGGAAGAGGAAAGCTCTACCAACGCGGCCCCGTTTCAAATCCCATGCAAACTCTGTATTTTTACAATCCCGTAAGCGGCGGAGGACACTTTCAGGGTTTACGAGTTAGACGTGAGCTTTGCTTTTGCGCTCTCGTTATACACACGAAATGAAATC